AGTTCATGTCTACATACAATGGAAAGTGAGACTACTGGAGGTGAATTTGTGGTATGATAAACTGACTAAACCAGCCACAATGATATTACAAGTTCACGGGAGGTAGACAAGTGCGTGGCACAATAAGGCTATCAATTATGCACTATGAGCAAAATAGAATGGGAATGAGTATTCCAGTTAGAAAGAAAAGATGGTACCAGCATATTGTTCGGGCCAGTGCTCTTTCTGAGTTGAATATATATTAAGGTTGTTGATACGTGTTTTGGGAAGTGTTTAACAGTATGAAGGGATCATGAGAATGTTCACAAAGGAAGTGGAGTGGTTTCTTAAATCCTATAAGGCACACAAGGAGGAAAGAGGTTGACCAAGAAAGGTATGAACACAATGTTACATTACATTTGATGCAACGTCGTGCATATTGATGATATTAAGGTGTGTGCGCATGCTAGAAGATGTTATTCCTTTGAAATGGAAGGTTCTATAAGAAAACTCATCCAGTAATGTCTTTTGTTGAGAATTTGGGAGAGCAAATTGCAAGTACCCACATTTGTTAGTATAGCCTTTTATCCACAAACTGATGGACAGGCAGAGCGGACCATTCAGACGCTTGAGGATATGTTGCATGCTTGTGTTCTGGATTTCAAAGGTAGTTAGGATGACCATTTGCCACTCATAGAATTTGCTTACAATAATAGCTTCCATGCTAGTATCCAGATGGCACCATTTGAGGCGTTGTATGGTAGGAGATGTAGATCTCCCATTGGGTGGTTCGAGGTTGGAGAAGATGAATTGACAGGGTCAGACTTCATGCATCAGGCTTTGGAGAAAGTCAAGATTATTAAAGACATGTTAAAAACTGCTCAGGACCGTCAAAAGTCCTATTCAAATGTTCATCGAAGAGATGTTATATGAAGAAATCCCAATTGTCGTTCTTGATAGGCAAGTCCGAAAGTTGAGAAATAAAGAAATTGCCTTCGTGAAAGTGTTATGGCGAAACCAACAGGTTGAGGAAACCACTTGAGAAGCTAAGGAAGAAATGAAAAAGAATTACCCCTCGTTTGTTTAAATAGCAATGAAATAGTTCTATGAAGTTGTTTCACATAAATTTTGTATCGCTTGTTCCGCTAATGTAAGAGAGTTCCTTTCCAATTATATGTTCATTATGGGACTACGGTTGGTGTTGTTTTATGTTTTGTTGCGTCATTTTATCACATAAATGTTGTTGAGGTGTGTTTCTAGGATTCTCTGACAGGTGGATAGGCCTAGTTACAAGGGAAACTCTGCCGAAATTTCTGAAAAATTTGGGAGTTAGTCAAAATTTGTGAGTTAAAGATGTGTGATAAAGGAGATAAATTATACTGAGTACTTGCGGATTGACTCCAATTATCATTCTAGGACAAATGATCCTAAGCGGGGGAGAATTTAAAGCCCCAAAAAATTTTGCTAAGTAATTTAAGATCTCGTGGAGCCAAGGTAGGCTAATTATTTTATTTTGTGTGCAAGTGAGGATTCATGATATAATGGCTATCAATTGGATATTTTAATAAGCGTATAAGTCATATTATAAGTGATTTGGGGTCGGAAGATAATCAAGTGAAAGAACCTAAATCTTCACCCCGAGAGGTAAGAAACTTGACCCCTAATCTCCGGTTTCAAATTCACATTGAACCCTGATCCACATTTGAATACGAGTTACTGTTCATCGCAGCATCTTTGGCGATTTGAGCTTGCTCATGCTCGTTTAAGGCAGCCATGGCTGCATTGACCTCTCCCCAATCCTTGGCTGTGGGAGAGCAAAGTGTTCAAGCACCTGGGATCAACATTCCACCAAAAATGAATTATGCAGCAACTGTGACTAAAGAAAATGTGCGACAAATCCAACATACAGTTCTATGTCCAGTTAGATTCGAACATGGAGAACCAATCGTAGAATTCACCACAGATGAGGTGAAAGAGTTTGTCATGGAGGAAGGTTTACACCAAGCAGTTGTCATCAAATTCTCTTATGGAAAACCAGAACTTCACGACCTCAGAAGAATTTTTCCAAAACAGTTCGATGTGAAGGGATCGTGTAACATCGGGCAGCTGGAGTTTAGACATTTACTGGTACGATTCGATCTTTATGAAGATTATGTAAACTTTGTTTCCAGATCTACTGGGCACATTAACTCAAAAGGAGATGAGTTCTTCTTCAGAACTTTTCCTTGGACGATTGGATTCGATTCAAGAATTGAGACTTCAAAGGTTGTCGTGTGGATCTGATTCCCAGATCTTCCACCCAATTATTTTGCAAAGAAATCTTTGATGTCAATTGCATCTGCAGTTGGAAAACCTCTAGCTATTGACAAGGCGATGAAAGATCGAACAAGGCCAAGCGCTGCGAGGGTTAAAGTGTTGCTGGATCTGCTGGATAAGCATCCCAAAAACGTCAAGATTTTCGTCGTCGAAAAACTTTCTGGAAAATCTAATAATTTCCATCAAAAGGTTATGTATGATTACCTTCCAATGTATTGTACATGTTGTAAGCACCAAGGGCATGATGAAAATTCATGTCGCTCGATGAAAGGGAGGAATAAAATTGCAAAGGGAAATATCGAGCAAAAAAGTCGAAATGATTTGGATGAGATTTCTACTGAACAACTTCAAGGTGATGCAAGGCAATTGTTGAATGCAATAAGAGATGCCAATCAGCTGCAAGAAAATGACAATGTGACTCAAATGCATGGAGTGGTCGATGACACTTCACATACTCAGAATAAGATGAAAGGTAAGGCTACTGCTACAGGAAGTCTTGCGATCATCACAGGTCAAAAGCCTACTGGAAATTTAGGAGGATAATGGAAAGAGGTGAAGGATAATCGTGTGAAGCCTGTCAATAATGAGAATTGTGTTCAAACAA